GGAATTGAACCCACACCTGTGGTTTCCAGCCAAAGAGAAAACAGGCATATGAGCTGAACATTTACCTGAGGTAGATACACTCCTTGGAGAGAACAACCATGGGAGAAAGAAGGGCTGCTTATGCACAGGGAGACAGCTCAGGGGGCAGGAGTGAATGGAGGAATGGTCACAGGGAAGAGGTAACTATGGGGAGGAAGTGGGAGGGGAGCTGTCGCATTGTGGTAAACTGTGGTCAATGTCATGAGACAAAGTGTATGTGAACTGCTGTATGGAAAGTGAATTTGCTCTGTTAATCTTCACCCAAATCACAATTTAAAAAAAAAATTTTTAAAGGCAACTGGAAAATGTACATTTAATCACTCTGAACTGAATCACACTTTGCTTTCTACTGAAACCAATCTATAAATAACTTTGGCACATCTAAATCAAGAGTTATTAAAAGAAATTGCAAAACTCTATTGTTTTGAAAATACATGTGTGGGAGTAACCACACTTTGTTAACTCAGTCACAGAATGCATGTATATCTTTCCCAACTGTGCAAATCAAGCATATGTTCAAAAAGTACAATAAAACAAGAATACACAAAGCGAAATTTAGGCAGTGCCTCATTTAAATGAATAATTTAGCTAAAAGAACTTATATTGCATTCCAAATGACAGAAAGGGTTGATTAACATTCATGTTTTGTAAACATAGTGAAAATGGAAAAAGGTGGACATCTCAAAACTTTATGTATCAGAATGGTGACAACAACACTTTGTTAACTGAGTCAGAGAATGTGTGTTTAACTTTGTCAAACGTGTACATCAAGTTTCTGTAGAAAAGTTTGAAAAAATATGATTTCTTCAGTTCCACTTAACAAGTGGAACTGGAAAATGTATATTTCATCAATGTGAACTGAATCACCCATTGATCACAAACTTAAACCTATGTATAAATAACTTGGGCACATCTAAATGAAGGGTTATTTCCAGAAATTGCAAAACTCTATTGTTTTGAAAGAATCTGAATGGGAGTAAATATACTTTGTTAACTCAATTAGAGAATGTATGTGTACCTTTCCCAAACGTTTAAATCAAGTGTACATTCAAGTAAAATAAAACAAGTATTTACAAAGCTACATTTCAGTAGCGCAAAGTTTAAATGCACAACTTAATTATAAGGAACTGAAAAACACATTGCATTCTAATGACCCAAAGATTTGATAAACATTCACAACTTGTAAAACAAGTGAAGATGCAGAAAAGTGGAAATCTCCTATGAATTCATATATCAGAATGGGAGCAATAACACTTTGTTAACTCAATCAGAGAATGAGTAATTTTGTCAAACATGTACATTAAGTTTTTTGTTGAAAACTTACAGAAAAACATGATTCCCTCAGCTCACCTTAAAAAGGACAACTGGAAAATGTACATTTTAAATCACTGTGACCAGAATCACACTTTGCTTTCTATTGAAACCAATGTATAAATAACTTTGGCACATCTAAATCAAGAGTTAGTCCAAGAAATTGCAAAACTCTGATGTTTTTGAAAGTATGTATATGGCTGTAACCACACATTGTTAACTCGATCAGAGAATGCTTATGTACCTTTCCCAACCATGTAAATCAAGTAAGTGTATTTTTTAAAATTACAATAAAACAACAATACACAAGGCAAAATTTCAACAGTGCATCATTTAAAGAACAATTTAGCCAAGAGGAATTTTAATGACACATTGCATTCCAAATGACACAAAGGAGAATCATTCACCTCTTATAAATCTAGTGAAAATGCAAAAAGGTGGAAATCTCAAAACTTCATGTATCAGAACGGCGGCAACAACACTTTGTTAACTGAATCAGAGAATGTATGTTTAACTTTGACTAACGTGTACATCACATTCCTGTTGAAACTTTGAAAACACATGATTCCTTCAGTTCAACTTAATAAGTGCAACTGGAAAATGTACATTTAACCAATGTGAACTGAATCACACTTTGATCTCTACTGAAACCAATGTATAAATAACTCTGGCACATCTATATCAGGGGTTATTTCAAGAAATTGCCCAAGTCTATTATTTTGAAAGTACATGAAAAGAATTAACCACACATTGTTAACTCAATCAGCGAATGCATGTGTATCTTTTCAAACTCTGTAAATCATGTGTATGTTGAAAAAGTACAGTAAAAAAAAAAAAATACACAAGGTGAAATTTCAGCAGTGCATCATTTAAAAGAACAATTTATCTAAAAGGAACTTAACAGCATATTGCATTCTAAATGACACAAAGGTTTGAGTAACATTCATGTCTTGTAAATCTAGTGAAAATGGAGAAAGGTGGAAATCTCATAACTTCATGTATCAGAATGGTGGCCACAACACTTTGTTAACTGAATCAGAGAATATATGTTTAACTTTCTCAAATGTGTACATCAAATTTCTGATGAAAACCCTGAAAAACATGATTCCTTCAGTTCATCTTAACAAGTGCAACTAGAAAATGTACATTTAATCAATGTGAACTGAATCACACATTGATCTCTACTGAAACCAATGTATAAAAAACTTTGGCACTTTGGAACTGAAATGCACATTGCATTCTAATGACCCAAAGATTTGAGAAACATTGACATTTTGCAAACTAAAACAAAATGTAGAAAGGTGGAAATCTCCTATAAATTCATGTATCTGAATGGCAGCAACAACACTTTGTTAACTCAGTCAGAGAATGTATGTGTAATTTTTTTGAACATGTACATTTTGTTTCTGTTGAAAGCTTAGAAAAAAACATAATTCCTTCAGTTCACCTTAATATGTGCAACAGGTAAATGTACATTTAATCAAAGTGAAGTGAATCACACGTTGCTTTCTATGGAAACAATTGATTAAATAACTTTGGCCCATATAAATTAAGGGTTGTGTCATGTAATTGCAAAACTCTATTCTATTGAAAGTCCGTGAATGGCAGTACCCACAGCATGTTATCTCAATCAGAGAATGCATGTGTATTTTTCCCACTTGTAAATCAAGTGTATGTTGAAAAACTACAATAAAACAAGAATACAGCATCCACAGTTTCAGCAGAGCATCATTTAAATGAATAATTTAGCTAAAAGGAACTTAATGGCACATTGCATTCCAAATGACACAAAGGGTTGAGTAAAATTCACATCTTGTTAATTTAGTGAAAATGGAAAAAGGTGGAAATTTCTTATAACTTCATGTATCACAGTGGCAGCAATAACACTATGTTTACTCAATCAGAAAATGTATATGTAACTTTGTGAAAAGTGTACATCAAGTTTCTGTTGAAACCTTTGAAAAAAACACTATTCTCTCTATTCAGTGTAACTAGTGAAACTGGAAAATGTACATATAAAAGGTGTGAACTGAATGACACTTTGCTTTCTACTAAAACCAATGAATAAAACCTCTGGCACATCTATATCAGGGATTATTTCAAGAAATTGCAAAAGTCTCTTGTTTTGAAAGTACCTGAATGGGAGTAACCACACTCTTTCCCAGCCATGTAAATCAAGTATATGTTGAAAAACTACAATAAAACAAGAATACACCATGCGAAATTTCAGCAGTGCATCATTTAAATGAACAATTTAGCTAAAAGGAACTTAAAGGCACATTGCTTTCCAAATGACACAAATGGCTGACTACCTTCACATCTTGTAAATCTAGTGAAAATGGAAAAAGGTGGAAATCTCTTATAACTTCATGTATCACAATGGTGGCAACAATACTTTGTTAACAATCAGGGAATGTATGTGTAATTTTGTCAAAATGTACATTAAGTTTCTTTTGAAAACAGAAAAAAACATGATTAATTCAGTTCACCTCAACAAGTGCACCTGGCAAATGTACATTTAAAAGATGTGAACTGTCAGGTTTTCAAAATGGAGTCTTGCCAGTGATCAGCATGCTTTTTCCCTCTGGCATCTAAGAACTTGGAAAACTAGGTACAACATTTTGAATTAGGAACTATGGTGCTCTGAACAGCTCACTGAATTAAGAGTGCACCAAATACAGAAGAGCAGAATTAGAGGAAACGCACTGGGAGATTATTTAGGAAAGAGCTACTGGTGGAGGATAGACAGGCACCCAAGAGAAGCCATTGGAAATTTCACTGAGGCAGTCACTGTCTGCCTGGTGAGGGCGGCTGCCTGAGATCCCCAAGCCAAGAAGGAAGACACCTTATGGCAGCATACCAGTGACCACTCCAATATTCCAGCAGACAGCAGCAGAGACCTGCCTCCAGCAGCTGATTTTGTCAGTAATTTGGGTCATCTGGGTGCAGGCAGGCAACACTGCTGAGATTCAGGCAGAGAACTCACTGTTGTGACATAAAGTCTACCTCCCTCCCCTCCCACTGGTTCACAGAGTGGGTTTGGGTCATACTGGGAGACATTGCGCTTTCCTTTGTCATGGAAATCAGGACTGCAGGTCACTCGCAGGTACTCCCCGGACTCCAACACATCTGAAATTGTGCGCATCTTTGGCGCCGCAGGTGGGTAGTATCACAAACTCCAGAACCGACCATTACGGTCTGGTGGGATTGCTTCAGCACTGCAAGCAGACGGGGTAGGGAGAGCAAAGAAACTGCAGCTGAGTGCAGTCCGGAAATTTTGCCTTGGAGCTGTTCTTTGGCACTGTGGGGCATTGGAGGTGGGGTCTTTGAGTGTGCCTGAAATTGGCAGAAAGTTGTGATGCCCTATCAATAGGAATCTTTCCTGAGGATGAACCGCGGTCTTGCAAATAAATATGTCATCAATAATAGCCTGCTCAAAGCCCCAGAAACCAACCCTAGCAACACCAAGCTTTCCTTCTTCTGCTTCCACCTTCGCCGCCAATAACTTCACTCATTCAATAGAAGAAACCATATTCAGCCAATTATCATAAAACCTTCCGCTTCGAACTCTAAACCCTCTTTACGAAAAACAGAAACACATATCCACACTACACACAGTGATTCCACCATCACAAAGAAAATAGCAGATGGAACCAACACACCTGAATCAATAATAAAATAAAACACACTGGCTTCACCTTTTCAAAATATTAAACCGTAAAACCAAGACAAGACAAATCAACACATATCCAGCAGCTAGAGACAACCTGAAGAGACA